CATATATTCATATTCATGACTTACTTCACAATCTCTCTAAGGATTGACCTAAAAATTGTCAGGAATCCACCACGAAATGTCTGAATAACTGCCTGAAATATTATTTTTAATGAATAAGATCGATTTCTTCTAAAGTCTACAATTACGAGACTTGCAGGTCTGGAAGCACTGCACCCTTCCAATCATTGGCTTTGCTATCCATTCAGAATCGTTCATGTGTTCAATTGTCCATTTCACTCGAAGATTACCCAACCTTCTCAAAGGCCATACCGTATAATTTGATTGCCATTTCACTCGAAGATTACCCAACCTTCTCAAAGGCCATACCGTATAATTTGATTGATCCATTCAGAATCGTTCATGTGTTCAACTGTCCATTTCACTCGAAGATTACCCAACCTTCTCAAAGGCCATACCGTATAATTTGATTGTTTTTCAGTACCAGCCTTGTATTTTTTTGTTTTTTTTTCTAGGACTTTGTAGTGGCTAGAATTTCGTGTCTCAGTTCTCTGGAAACGATAAGACAGCCCTACTTTTTCCGCCCGTCTGGACCCCTAGACGACGAAAGTGCAAAATCAGAGAACTGGAAACTTTCTCAGGACGTTTTTGCTCTGTTTTTGCAGCAAAGAAGGAAAAGTATGCTTCTAATGAGGTTTTTGCAAAGTTCATAACAATGAGAATAGGACTGGGCTGCAGAAAATTCACCTTGGTCGCTTATCCAAGTATGAAAGGGGAGAAAGGTGTTAAAGCTAGGAATTGGGTTTCTTCCACTTGCTAGGGCTCAAGTACTAGTTCAAGGCCAAACTGAGATGCTGTTCAAAGCTTTTACTTTATTTGGTCTAGATTCTCTTCCTATTCATTGAACCTGGCTGTTTTTATCCTTTTTTATCCAAAATCGTATGTGTCTTGTGACCCAGTAAACAAAAAACAACAATAAAGTTGACCGAAAAATCTTTGTTCTGCTGTGATGCCTGAACTAGCCGGTCTTTCCAAAGCTTACATAACAGAGAAAGGGCTTTGAGATTTTAATAGCACTGAAGCCGTGGACGAGTTGTTTTGCATCGTACGTAACGGTACTATAAATGCTTGCTATAATTACCCGTTAACGCCTAGTATTATTGGGGCTCACTTCCATAAACACCTGGTTACCCATTGAAAGAGGAAACGGAAGAAATGAAATCCGCAATTAACGGTACAAATGGGATGCTATTATGCCGACCGTAACTTTTGTTTACCGTTTTCTTTAATGAGCGCTTTTACTTCGAATCTGTTGACGTATTTGTCGTAATTTGACAACGCAATGTCAATTTTTGACGTTTGACATCTACTACAATTGTAAACACGACAAATTTTCAAAGAATACATTCAATATCATATGGTCTGTTAAGAATGTGCCCTATTAGGTCAAAATGAGGCTTACCAGTTAGAGGGCAGCCAGAATACGCCCACTATTGGATTTCTATTGATCACAGTATGAATTCATTTCCATTGTTTTCGAGCATCGCCCTTTTTGCCTCTGGATGGGTCTTTTTTGTGAGTAGTGTCTCTTTACAGGGTGAGCTTCTCGTTTTGAACTTTTCTACCATGTATCGCACATCGTTACCCATCAATTCATTCAGCAATTTTCCGATAATACCTAGCTTTTTTCTATGGCGTCAAAAGTGATGAATGAAGATGGTTTAGGGGTTAGAGGTAGACCATAGTCATCCCTTGGCACTTAGATGAACTTCGCTAAGCACTGCTGAGGATAGAGGATAACCTCCAACTTCTCTCTTGCTTTAACCTCGGCATAGCTGTTATTTGTGATATTTATAGTCTTGTGCCACACGAGGCTCTTGCTTTAACCTTTTCTTTAATTTTCTCCGCGTGAACGGTGGAACCTTGGCCTCTGAAGACGACGATTGCGTCGAAAGGTTAGGCCGTTTGACCAAATAAACCGTTCCACCTAAAAACCTCGTGTGGCACAAGATCATAAATATCACAAATATAAAAGATAACGTTCCGTTCATAGCGTTGATCGATCCCGTCTTGGGGTAATTACAACTATAATGAGATTCTTCTGCTCTGAGATGGGTCAACTTGAATGTTTGGATGGAAAAGGAAAACTGCCATTGTAATTTGGCTTACAATAACTGGTCAGATTTCAGTGATGAACAGATTCGTGAGGTAGTCCTAGCAGCTCCCTACTACTGTGAAGCTTTCATCGATAACGAAGGTTCTTCATAGGTCACTCGCCGAGTTAGATTTCTCTTACTCGGGACTCCACGTGTAGACAGGTCTCCACCTACAAAAGGCGGAAAGACAAAGAACCCTTATACTTGGGTGATTGTACCTCGTACTCCAACTGGGGGGATTGGGGAGAGGGAAGGGGGAAGTAGTCATAGCGCATCCTGGAAGCAACGTTTTCTGACGAGAAGGGAACCTTCTGAATCCCTTCATAGTCAAGAATATTCTGAATTCCTTGTCGTCACTGATTGCCATTCAGTTCACTGTGTTAATTATTGCTGACTTCTTGACTGGACGCGACTACTTTTTTTACAGAAAAAAGGCGAAAATAGGCCTCAAGTGACAGTTTTCTCCGTTCTTCATCTATTTTGTAGAAGATTATAGTCGTTCCCCGTGACTAGATTTCAACAGCTTATAGGGAGAAAGTGATGTTAATCTGATGGCCGTTTTGTGTGGCCACTAGAACAGACTGGCACAGCTATGACGTTGTTTTATTTGCATGGAATACTTTCATTTCATCATCCTTGCAGCATTCCAACCGCTTTATCTTTTTCATTCCCTTTATTTCATTCACTTCCACTTCATTTCATTTCCTTAGCGCCTTTCGGAATACCCGAACACGTTCCGTAGCCCGTCCGTAGGTCGTCTTTATGAAGCTTGAGAGTTTGGAAAGGAAAAAGAGAGTAGCGCTGTGTGTTTATACTCATCTAGTATTTTTTTGGGAGTAGTTAAAGTGGCTTTTGTTTAAGAGTAGGTTGTCTTTGCCAGTTGGGGTCCCATTCCATGGCCACTTCGATACCGTAGACCTGAAGGAAACTCACAAAAACAATTTCCGTCCTCGGACGTTTTCGAATTTCATTTCGTGTTTCCGCCTATAGATATGAGTTTTTTAGATACCTGAGGGAATTGCCATATCTACTGACTACCATTACAAGACGTTTTTTGTATATCTAGGTTTCGAATTTCCTGTCCTCAACCCCTTTTTGGCATAAACTTGGCCACCTGCTCACTTAGTTCATTAATCGAACTTTCTTCTTTTCTTTTTTTCTTTATTAATTTACTCCAAAAATTGAATGGATGGTCAGGAGGGTTGCGCCTGCACATTTGAATCATCTTGGAAATCTTCATGTTCATATCCCTCTAGGCAACTTCGGCACCGTGATGATGAAGGGTTTGTTTGTCCTGGGAAAGAAATCAATCCGGAATTTGATCCGAAACGCTACATTTCGCTTCTCTATCGCCATCAGAAGCTCGGTTTACAAACGAATCAATGTAGGCTCTCGAAGACTCTCGGAATCCCAGAAATGATATTCGTTCGACTTTCTTCGAAATTTTGCTTGCAGCATGTTCCCGGATGTAATTCCAATTAGTTTTTCTTTGGAGAACTTGCTACAAAGCGAATAGAAAACGAGAAGAAGCACACTTAAAGACATCTAGACTTGGATTGGATTACAGTTTTTCTCTTCCTAGAATCCAGCCTTGGCACTCATACAACTAGGCTCGGGCTTTTCGTGAGAAAGCTTAAACTTCTCTGGAACAAATCAAATCTTTGTTGGGGATACGCCCCCGACTTTCGACTTCCACCCAGACATCGTTCATCGTTGTATTTTGAACTAAATAAGTTTTTCTTGTTTCCCAGGCGTTTCGAAAACGTATATGGCCTTTACAATAACTTCAGCGGCCAGCCTATGGGTTAGTACGCGCTTTTATCCTCCCAGACGAGTCTGGTACCAGCCTGCCGCTCATGTTTACAATTTTTCGCAGACTCTCCTTCATCGGGAAGTTGAATGTCGGAATTTTCGCTCACGCCATATCACCGATGCCTGTGAGACTCGTGCTCACATCAGGTTTTTGTTGTACTCCTTAGTCCGTACTTTACCCGTAGTAGAGCTACATAACTACGGTGCTTATAAGAGATTAAAGAGCAAATTTATCGATTTAGCGGATTATTCACAGTAAGATCATGATTAAAGGTTCTGGTGAGCAGTCTCCTCCAAAAAACGCGCTATTCCATTGGGTCGTAAAGCTGAATAGTAACGGCATTTGAAAGTCCTTTTCTCCTATAAAGGAAGTTCAGGGGGGCTGACAGGTAATGTTTGAACTTTCGACTCTCTTCGAAGATCAGCAAATCAAAATTCACCGTCCTCAGTAGGAGGGGATGCCTATTTGTCGTGTATGGGCTGCAATTAATTAAATTACAACTTTCCACGAATGGATATATGATGAGCCATACCAATTTTCCTTTTTTGATTTTTAGTCTAATTTTTTTTTGAAATAACGANCAATCATATTTCATTGTGGCTCTTTCGGACCATGTAATTATTTTTCAATTATTTTAAGTTACACATAGCTTTGTCTTTTTCTTTCTGAACGGATTGCTCTTTGTTCAGCGATGCTTTCACCTCTTCGAGAACTCTTTCAGCAGTTGCTGTTTTGATTTGCCTGCGAAGGGAAGTTTTCCCAGAGAAGTAGGAATTATACGGCAGATCTCCCTGGACTGAGTGAATGGCACATCCAAAACTGTTTGAAACTTTTTTCCCATCCACTTGTGTCAGTTGCAAGCTAATATTTCTCTTTCCGCTCGTCCTGAATGATTTTTTTCTCATCGCGAATCAATTTTTCTTCGTAGCCCTTTTGCTTTTTGTGAATTAGACAGTTTCAGGCTTGAATCTGCCATTTCGTTTGCAAATCTGTTGCCCAATCTTACGACAACGTACGGTACAAATGATTTCCATGCCTCTTCAATAGCGAACGAAGGGGAACGACAGTCTTTGATGCAGTCCCTCAATGCAGATGATATAGTGAAGACTGCAAAAAAGGTTAGCGATCGCTGATGTGAGCATGGATGAACAGCTGATCTCCCATTTCCAAACGAATACTTACTGAGCCCATTCCCATAGAGGACATTTCGATAGTGTTTTGTCGAAACGTACAAGACACATTGAGAGATTTATGAGAGCTGTGGGAATTCCAGCTCTTCCATCTAATACCTTATATTGTACATGGCGAAACTGATCAAAAAGATAGATAAATAATTAAGTGAATAAGTTGAATAGCTAAATAAATTTTGGTAGAAATATTTTGCCACAAGAGTTTGAATGAAATGAATGAGAATGAGGAAGGCGAACAGGTTTTCTAGCCGAGCTAGAGTAGAGCTATGAGGATAGCTAGGAATACTGCAGGAATACTGCGAAGATTTCAAGCTTCGCACCTTTGCTCTCTAGGTATGGGTTTATTGGATCGAAGCTTCTTTTGAATGGGTGGTTCGAACTCGTTCGTTTTAGTGCAAATCTGATTGTGAGATTTCGGTGATTCACCTTATTGCTAGCCGACTGATCTATTGCCAGTTCAATTCGGTCTGTCCAAAATGAAAGGCTAAAGTTAAAGCAAAAACTTGATGTGTGCCAGCCTACTAGCAATTGCCAGTTCAATTCGGTCTGTCCAAAGTGAAAGGCTAAAGTTAAACAAAAAGTTGACGGGTGCTTGACGGCTTCCAATCCATTTTTTGAGTATTTTTTTATATACTCGAGTATTATTCAGGCGCTTTTGTCATATTCGGTTTCGATCCAGAATTATACACTCGAAGACTGTCAGATTGCCTATCATGCTACTACTAATTCACTCATGCAGGTACATATTATTCACCAATTTTATGAAATTTCAACTCCACTGTGTAGAACTCTATATCGAATATTTCGTTATTTTTGCGGAGGTTTGCCCTTTTTCCCTCAATCAAGGTCATCTTTTGTCGTTTTCTTACTTTTTTGTTAAACACCATTTTGTTGAAAAATCATAAAAAAAAGTATATAGCTTGCCCCTAACTGTTGGAGCCGATCACTGTCTTTTTTGGTGATTTTCAGTCTCTCCCGACGACGTCAATCCTTACTGCGAAGGGAATTTTCTGATTTCAGACGATCCGATTCGTTCACATCTTCTTCTGTTTCATTGGTGTCGCCTCGTCCTCACTGTTCATCTTCGTCCTCATTTCACGTTCCTCTCAAAATCTTCATGTGAATCTTCGTCTTTCACTTGCAAGCCTCAGTTTCGCTGCATGGATCGCCTGCACACAACTTCTACTTATCGCTGTATACAGGTATGTTAATTATTACTAATTATTATGCTATACAATTACGTACTCCGACAAGAGGCTGTGTTTAGAGTTAGCGATCAAAGCGATTAAGCGTTCAGTGACTAACCCTTCTTATTTGTCGCATGGCATCACGACCGCACGCTTCGATCTGTGGCCTTTTTTGATAGCGAAAGCACTGTAATTTCTCAACCTACAACTACAATTCAAATGTAAAAAATAAAAAATAGCCATGTGACTGAGGACTAATTTTGAGAAACTAATTTCTGCAATATTAGATTAATAAAATAAGTTTTCTTCAGTCTAATGAAGACTCTATCGGAGGATAACCCGTGCAATTCACTCTACGAAGCGAAATCATGTGCTATTGCCAGGTCAGTTACGGATTGCGGTGATATGTAGGGGATTTGTGCTTCCGACGACTACAATTACAGGTTCCCTGTGGTATTGTCGATTTACGCAACACTATGCGGAATTCTTATCTTAGCTGTTGAACGTACAATCGCCACCCTAAAATACAAAACTTACGAGGTTCACGGATCAAGAATTGTAGCCATCATTCTGATTGGAGCACAGGTTTGTAGTCTTTAGATATATCTATTTTAAGCTTTACAAATTGCAATAAGGCTTGCACTATGGTTCACGTAACCCTAGAACCAAACCTTACTATGGTAACTGAAAAAATAGCTAAAGCCGTGGAATAGTTGGCGTGCTAACAATGAAGAGTTGAAAGCTGTGATGTACGTCCGGCTTTGATGAGGGATGAGGCTATAAAGCTAAAATTGAAGCCTTGTGATCTCATATTTCTAATTAAAGTTAGAAAATAAAGGGCAACATTAAGATTTTTTGATTGGCAGCAAACCAATGCCAGCCGGGCCGGTAGCTCCACCACAGACCAACCGGGAATAAGACTGACCATCTACTGGGGCAAAACTTTATCTTTAAAAAATCTCTAAATTCTTCAAAAAAGACGACGTGGAGCCCTTATGCATGGAGTAAACCCTTCAGGAAGTGAATTGGCAGGGTGAGAGCCCAAACCCGATTCCTTCATCCTTGTTCCGTCAAGAACACTTATTGATGGCTCTGTCAAAGAACGTAATAATTGCGGCCGCTCGAAGATTGAAGGGTTTGAAGAGTCAGCAAGGACTCCAAGAGATATTGAGCTGCATGAATGTCCCTGAACTTTTTCTTCGAAAGTGCTGGAACCTTAGTGGTGGTCGCTTTTCCGTTTCCGAGCAATATAATGAGCTCAGGCGATTTTTTGAGAAGAAACATCCTCACTTAGTCAGCCATAGATTCATTTTTTGTTAGATTCTGAGTCCACTTGATTAATAATTTTTCTAGGTAAGGTTAAAACGTTGATAAATCATATCGGCTGCTAAGAAATTAATGGTAGCTTGCATGTGACTAACTGAGTCTCTTTCAAGCACTTTGCAAACGATAGTGTTGGAAAATATATCCTTCCATCTGTGGAGGATACACCTAATCCAACCCCAAATTCTCTCGGCAGTCCTCCACATCAGCTGATTCAACAAAACATGGTACCCAGTAGCGTCAGGCGAAATCTGATGCTACAATTTCAGCATCAGTCAAGAAAAGATAGGCAAAGGGACGAAGTCGACAGCTAAGAGATCATAGTTCTCAAATGGGTTCATAATTAGATGCCGGAAACAGCAATAAGGAAAGATTAATGGGTTTCTGTGTAGTACTTCCGACATATTTACGGCCACTGATCACTCCTACCAATGCTTACTGTGATAGAGGCAAAGGGCTTGTGAATATCATGAGGGCATTGCGTTCGTGGACTATCTAGGGTGAGCCATGAACTTGCCTCCACGAAAGTGTGCACATTTGTGATTGCTCATATGTCTTACGTGCCGTCTTCACCACGGCACTGGTTTGTGTGAGCAGAGGACCAAGCAGCGGTGTAGACTATTTGGAGTGACCTAGGCTGAACTCAATCCCCAGACCGTGCTATAGACAGTGGCATCTCATGTCTCTATAATACTTCCCCTTTTATCTCAAAAAAGTAATAATGATAGAGGGTGTCACTCTATCGAACGTATTTTCAGTGGCTTATTTCGTCAGTGTTCGCGGTGCTGTCCGTGCTCATTCGTTCTGATCCCGGTTACGTGCACTATTGTACCGTTTATGTTTCACATCCGAGGACGGCGGTAGTTCATTTTAGATTCACTTTATTCATTTACTTATTTATATATTATTTATTTGGTATCTAATGACTGATCGTCGATATAGAAAAGTGTAGAATATTTATAACCCTTTAAGTCTACAGGCTGTTGGCTTACCTCCAATCGTTTTAAAATAAGATAAAAGTTTTTTAAGTACTTTGCCATCAGTATCGATAAGGTATTCAGGGATCAATATGTTATTGATCGACCTAATACTCATAGACTGAATAATAAAACCTCAATAAAAATGTACTGGAATCATCAGTTATTCTAGATCCTCTTGTAAAGATCCTTTAGGTGTTCTCGTTATGTGTGATGTCAGCAATGGAAGCCGTTGCATTAGTCTATTTCGTCCTTCTCTTACATTCAAATCAACGTCGACAAGTGAACGAATTTGTCAATAACGCCATGCACACGTTAACTGAACGATATCAACTGCAGGTATTTGTTACCTACCTTTTGTCACTGCTCTGCTTACCAGGCCTAATGTTTACTCCCACTTGACCAATGCCAAAAATAGCTTGAACTCTTTGAATTTTCCGCAGCTTTCTGGAATAATTGTCAATGCTATCGAGTCTCATTCGAAAATGGAAAGTGTATGTGCTCAGGCTTTTACTTTCAGGAGAACGTACGGATAATGCGAATTTTAATTCCATCTGTAACAGTCCATGCTGTTCTTGGGATGATTGGTTTGGTTTCGCTGCTGGTCTTTGCTATCGTTTACAGGTCAGTTTGATCGTGGAAGGAAGTTTTTTTCCAGTTAATTGGATATAGTCTATGAACTTATGTTTATGCTAGTACATGGAAGGAATAGGATAACGAAAAGGAGTGCGCCGTGCTTTCACCTTCCATTCACCATCGTAGACATATTAGAATGCATTGGTGCAGCAGACTCAGGCTACGGGCACCCTCACTCATAGAAAAACAATCACTTCAAAAGTGTTTGCTTGTTTGACTAACTCGAAAGGAACCTACTGGTGCAGATGGTGCGAGTGGGGTAAGGCGCTTCCATCCACACTCCTATATAGGGTGCTCCGAGTGAACTTTACAAGTCTCTTGGCTTTACATACAATGTTCCCCTTTTTTAAAGGATTCATCCGAACCCAGATTTCCCAATCTTCCTCTCTCAATTCGGACCATAGCTCTATCCTTCGAAAAAAAATTTACTTTAGGGTTTGAGGACTTCAAAGTGGGGTAGGAGGATACCAAGGTTTGAGACACTCAGAGAAAATATTGTTAAGAATTCAGATATGCCGTAATCAAATAAAACATATATATTCAAGGTCTGCCGAAGAGCGTATGGTTGTTCGATTCGCTCCGTTTTCCGAATTAGTTTTACTGGTTGTGCCAGTATATGCTGTTGTTTTCCCGTTTGTAGCCATAGTAAGAAATAAACAGTTATGGCAAGCATCAAGGTACGTTCGAAATATGTAATTTTCTCTTCATTGGTATAAAAATTGAAATGAAATCGTCTTCAGACGCGCATTACCATGTTTCTTCAATGACCGACCTGCTCCACCGTCAGAAGATCGCCTGATTCCCGATCATACAGTGATCGTGTCACGGCCAAGTAAACAGATGGAACGGGATTCTGATACTCATTTTGATATGTTGCAAGAAATGTGGAAGAAATAGATATTTATCAATTATGAATCGTATTCAGTACATGTAAATACAAGCCACAAAGAAAAAAAAATAAAAAGTGCTCCTATCGGGGATCGGAGGTCATTCAGGCGAGAGCTGGTCACTGAGATGTTCGGAAGTGGATGTAATCACAATTGACAACGGAATAGTATGCTTTGTGACTCCATAATTCCTTTTCATGTAGCCAATTTCTCAGTTACTCCGAGTTTTTTATGCCTGACCGTTGCGGACCCTACTTGACCAAGACTTAGGAATTTTCGGTTTCAAAGAAAAAGCATGCCAGATAGATACGATGGGACGACTTGGATCATTTTCGCCACATTTGTATGGATCAACGATTCTGCGAAGGGACACAAAAGGGTTTGAAGGGCTTTGCTTATGATGAATTAGATCGTTTTCGGAGTATTTTTTATTTCTACTCGTAAAAATACACTCAAAAACAAAAAAAGTCGATAACTGTGCTCATGAGTACGATAAGTTATGTGACAACAGTACTGGGCAGAACAAATAAATCGAAAAATTCCAGTGAAGGAAAAAAAATTGAGAGGAAAAATTCATATTCATCAATCGATGCTTTGAAACATACATAATAATACTTATCAAGGAGAAAGCACACAAAACGTTTATTGGAATGAGTGAGCACATGCGAAATTTGAATAGCATCAGCTAAAATCTGCAATAACGAACATATATGGGCACACCATAATGGCAACAACAATAGCAACAACAACAACAACAACAATAGCAAGTAGCGGAACAACTAAGAGGTCTATTCTGATTTTTCTCCTACTTTGATATCCATTTCGCACGCATTATCGAGGCATTTGACACTCAAAGGAATAGCCGATTAACAAAAGAAGAAAAAACGTGACAAATGGGAGCTTCAGCAGACCCTGTACACTTTATGAAATAGAAGTGCTGAATAATGAATGCAAAACATACCTTTTTCCCTCCTTCCAGCTGTACGAGCTTTCAGCAGTTCCTCCCGAAAATTGACGCAGGGCTCGAGCGATTTCTTTACACCTTCGTTCAGCGTAACAACTTTGAACTGTGCCTTCCTTAATGGAATCAGCTTCGATCAAGAAAAAGATTATGGTGGATTACAAGAGAACAGATATATGTGGTTAGCCATGCAACATCAATTATACAGCGGAAATGCTTCTGAGGCAAGACGAAAAAAAGCGAATTTCGGTCCGACTACATTACTGCCCTACCGTATCTTAATCGAGAAAAAATTTCCAGCTTGACCGAGCAAATATACAGCGATTAATTACCACACTGATAGGTCTGACCCCATGAAATCATTACTTAGAAACTCGAATTACTAGCTTCAGAGGACTCAAAGAAAAACGTCAGCAACAGAACCCACTTTGCCTTGACCAAAAACTCTCCTCGATCGAGCTTTTTTATACGCCTACGCTTTTTAGCTTGTGCTTTTTCTTGACGCCGTTCCTCTTCTTCTTTTTTCTTTTTCTGTTGCTGAAATATTCTAGATCAGAACTGAGGCCGACTAATGTGAAAGTGATTATAAAATCGCAGACGTACCTGTTCAAATAAACTCAGTTCTGGTTCTTCATCGAGGAGTTCGATATCGGGAACTATTTTTGAAGAAATCTCAACAGGCGCGTCGGATTCAGCGTCACTGTCATTGTCCGAATTCGATGGGGAATTATCGACGGCAGGGGACTCTTCCTCGTCACGTACAGCCTTTTGAGTGAGATCCTCTTGAGATCGACGGGTACTCGTCCTACCACTACGTGTTGTAACTATAATGGTATTTGGAACGATATTCAGACACGTTATGCTTAGGCAAATACATACCCATTATGTGCTGCGTTGCTCAGCCAACTGACGCTCAACCGAAGTACACAGTCTTTCCAACTCAGTAAGCTGCCGCTTCTTCTGAAAAAGTTCTTCGAAGTTCATTATGACGGCACAAATCTATCTAATAGCTGCGAAACTTGATGCCTTCTCATGTGCTCAGATAGATTTCTGTAATGCTTGCAAAGTTGAAACTAGCTGCCAAAAATGCAAAAACGAAAATTCAAAGGAATGAGTTGGACGTCTGCAAATACCGAAACATCCTGCAAGGCATTCCAACAAGAGCGATACGTACCCTTCCGTAACCAGCCAGTTACGGACGGGTACGTATCTCTAGAGGATACACCATTAACGTAGGGGAAAGCCTTGCCAGTTCCGCCTTAATATTTGAGCGGCGCCTTGCGCACCCATCACCCTCCGGCTAGCCTCGTTATGGAAAGGCTCGGATAAAACTGAGAACAATAGAAAACAAAGTAAAGTATAGTATGTACATTCACAAATATAATCTACCTGATTAACAAACTCGACAGTCCGATCGATACTCGGCCACAGTCTGTCCAATTGGATCAGTTGGGTTTCGATAGAGCGTATATTCTCCTGTATCTGGAAATCGAAGCCATCCTCGTTTTAACCATATGTTTGGCTGCAAGGCTTCACACCAGCGAAATGAGTATACTTACAGCAGTAGTATCTGCCGTTACGGCACAGCTCAAAGTATTCAGTTCCTCAAGGGCTGCAGCGCTTCGTTCAAGCACGTCACCGAGACACTTGGTTGCGGGTCCGCTCTGATCATACACACATGAGTGACCAAATATATCAATCCATAGAAATTAAAACGAACCACAGATCCCAAAACTTGAAAAATCGAAACGATATTTTCAGTGATGGCCTTCACTTGTTGGGAAGTACCTTCTATGTCGATCGGAGAACTATCCTCTTTCGGTGATTTCACCTTTTGCATACGACGTCGCTTCGAGCGACCCTATAGAAAACAGATAAATATTGAGAAAAAAGTTCAACATAACCCGTGATACCTTCTTTGCCATGAAAAATTGAAGTCAAAATAGTAGAGAAAGCGGCAATAAGGCGAACAAAATAGTGATAGTGTTTGAACGGCCGTTATCAGTTGCTTTGTTTTCCCATGACTTTTTGTCATCAAGCCAATGGGAACGTGAAAGAAATAGCTTGGGAAATGGAACCACAAACCAAGAACCAGAACAAACTTCTTCTACAGTTTTATTATTGATAATAAATAACTGGTAAAAGTATTTAAAACACATATAAAGAGTCTGTGAAGCCAGTGAAGATTTCAAATGCTAACATACAATTATTTTCACGGCCTAGGTATATATGTACACGATTAAGTGATTCAATGGAGCAACGATGGAAAGCAGTGTTACATCACAAAGTTATAACGAACAAAAATTCAAGAATGCTCTAAAAACGCTAGAATCAACAAAAATTAAAAATCTATGGGAACAGCCGCATGGAAAAACTACAAGAAAGCTATAAAAATGTATACATCAGAAGAACATTTTTAAAGAACGAAATCCTATGAAAAAACACTTCACACGAGGCTTTTTCAAATGGACTGCAGGGACCTGAGCTAGCCCTCTGCAGTCACTCAGAGCCCAACACATCCAAGCCACAAATCGAATTTTGAAGTGCCCTACTCCCTTTTGCACTCCGTTGATTGTCACTGTGGATATCCTCCTTTCTAACTCCATGGAGTAACTCTGCGAAGCGGAAAATGATCAGGAAAACCCACTGGAATGAAAGCGACGGCATACATTGGCCACGAATCAAAGAATGCAACAAATCGGAGAGGATGACAACGCCAACAACTCAAAATTCCGGGATTCTCTGATTTGCTGATTTGGTGATTTCCTCATTAGTGATACAACAAGGGAGAAGCTTTGAAATGATCAAAAGGACTTAAAATGGTCTTTTCCGTGGACGATACGCATATTGACTGACGGAGTTCGACATTTTTTCAGCCAATCGACTAGTTGATGTGGAACCATCATATTGCCGTTGCCTGGAAGAATGAAATTTTTCAAGGAAAGGAATGAATATCACAACTGTTCCTCAAACCATTAAATTAACAAGAGTAATGACCTTGCCAAGTAAATATTAAAGTCGAAACAGTGACTGGGTTACGAGTTCTCGAAAATATTCGTCCCGTTTGAAACGTAGAGGATCGAAGCAGAGACTATATGGCAAAACTCAAAAAAAAGGAACTAACCAAGAGGTTTGTCCACTAAAACTTGTATCGAGAGGAATATTTCGATGATTATTTTCACTAGATGGATAGTAAAACGAATCCTCCTTTGAGTGAGTTGGTGACCCATTTGATGACACGTCCAAAGCCAGATCACGCAGCTCAACGTACCTGAACGAATGGTAAAAAAGTTACTGAGACACAAATTTTACTCGGAAGGATCAAAGTGGGAGCCTGTCAAGAGCCATTGTCCCCGTTTTCACCTTGGAATCTGCACAAAACAGTCTAAATTAGCTTTAATGCCTTTTTTTACATACCTGCCGACATTTCCAACGTGAGCATAGTTCGCTGCTAGGACAGCTAAGAAAGATGACAATCCTATTATGACAAAACATGATCCAACCCATCCTACGATATACCAGGAACGAGCAGTAGCAGAGAAAGCACAAAACTGCTGAGCATCACCCCCACAAAGACGTAGATCCTAGAAAAGTGAATCTTATCGAACGCTAGAAATGGAATACAAATATCGAAAGCTAGTGAAAGCATTTCCAATGGGTAAGGTACTCACTGCACTTGAAAAGCTCCTAACTAAAGGTGCGAAGACTTCGAAATTGATGCAGTTCTCTTCTGTGAATGTCGACATGTCAAGACAGAGATCATCGAAAATAAAATAGGAACCGCAGAATATTGAGACAATAGAAATTATGAATAGCCAACATATTAACTGAAAAAAAAACATCTGAGTTGCAAGAACCTTTTTCCAACAGAATTATTTTTTACACTCACCAATGTTGCACAAAACAACATGGCCACTACACAGGCAAATCTTCCACCGCATTTCGCTTCTTTACCTGAATACAGCTAAATTTCGTAAAGAGAAAATATTGTGAAGGAATGGGAAAACTCACGTTTATACATCTCTTCTCTTGTTGCACCTGTAGCAGAAAAACCAACAAGAAGAAAAAATAACGAAAAAAGAGACATCAAGACAGCTATAACCACAAAGAACACTTGAACCTAAATAACAATAATTCAGAAATACCTACTCATCTCGGAAATACCTACTTATCTCATTCGCAGGCAAAATATACAGTTATATTTTAAAAAGTAACCAGCTGATCAACAGTCTTCACCGAACATTCGCTAATTACTAAGAGAATTTCCGTTCCAATACATGAGTGATACAATAACTTACTTTGTCCACCCATGGCCAGTCTTGTATCTTAAGAGACCTTCTTGTTTGTTCGGCGGTAGCGTTAAATCCCCATGCCATCATTGTGGAAAATAAAATAACTCCAATGAAACAAAGGAGTGCCGCCATAAGTGAGGCATATGGGATCCTGAACAGCACTTGTATATAAGAGCACATTTACAGTAATATAGGCTCTGAATGAGCCAGGTCAAGCATGTAGAAAGACCAGTGGTAGATCCACGATGACTTATCAGCAAAAAAAAGATATCAAAAGTACCTGTTGAAGCAGCCATCATTGACATGAGATTTGACTGGAATGGGTCCGCTAATGTGCTCCAAAGGCTTTCCCCGGCGGGGAGGAGCATCGAGCACCACCCCGTAAATGCTGTCGTCTCGAATTTTGATGTCGGTTTACGGGAGCTGTGCCTGGCCAGAATATCAAAACAAAACCTGAAAAAAGGAAAAAGATCAGTAATCTTATTTCACCTGTTAGAGGAACAACAAATGGTTCGAAAAAATCGAAGGAAACAAAGACGCTGAAAGCTAATTTGAATAAAATTTTCCTACAAGATCCTATAAGCTTTTTTTCCATGTCGCAGAAACCAAATAAACTTACAGAGGCAATCACAGCCAGAGAGGCCATTCAGGCTGAAATCTTTCTCCAGAAAATTAGAATACTTATAAGAACGATATAAACAATAAAAAAAACATACAGTGCAAGTAATCAACGATAGCGCAGAATTCTTTTCTAATTGACCATATTTCATTGTTAGAAGGAAGTCTTAATAACACCATCAAAACCAAGTACGCTAGGTGAAGGACAGGACTGATATGATATCATAGAGAAAAACTTTGCACATCGTTTTATAGTATCGTAAAGTAGAGTGTCCTGACCGCAACTTCCTACAAACACTCTAGTTCACGCCTAAATTGCTATGCATAGCGCCTGTTCTATAACATCTAGCACGATTCGGTCCTTACCTCTCAGTGAACTGAAGAAGCAGTGGAGAATAAGTTCAGTCTGGTATAAATAGCAGGGTGTTATGTCATCTTTACGCTGTTTACCGAACGTTTTGGTAAACAAATGAATCGAACGCGCTAAACTTGCATTGTTACCGAATGCCCGATAAGATAAGATACACTGAGGGAGCAAGACAATAGATGAAGAGGTAGGGAGTTATTACGCTCTATTGCGATTGAAAAGCTGATCGCAGGTGGTGAAGTGGTATAGGCGTCGCTCACTACTTCTCATACAGTTCTTCTCGAATCACACCAAGGGCATCCGAGCTTCCAACTCCGCCGATGTCGGCATATTGGCGGAGTCGTTGTTCGGAAGGATGGAAAATTGACTAAATCGGTAAAAACAAACATTACTTGGCCCTACATGGAGGCATATGGAGTTGAAGACGCATTCAAGCCTCCACATGAATGTGGAAGCAAGTCAGATGCATGGCGTGTGCCAAGAAAATAGATTTCCTGCTCTTCAAAATCTTTGAGGCCAAAATGGGATAATTAACCGAGAACTACATATAAAATAAGATTGTCGAGGCTTGGATTCACTAAAGTGAGAAATCGCAATTTAAAAGGATACTTCGAAATTCCATGGAGTTGACACCACTGAGCACCATTAGCAGAGTGTTAAAAATGTGGAATTCCATCCCCTATGAGAACCCTGAATATGAGTCAGCGCTTAGTAAGGACTGCATCATGGGCCACGTCATCTCTGTTGGTGGGAAAAAACAGCCGATTATATTTCGACCCTTCTTTTTCGCACACACCTTTCAGTCAGACCAGGCGACGTAAGCGTTTATGAAGTTTAGTTAACAAGTCAACAAAACATTTAGTAAAAATGTAAGTTTTAAGTGTTCGTTGGAAGGACAAGAGCTATGTAGATAACGAGTTGGACGTTGGCCAACAGGAGCTGACTCATGTTTGTACACATCGGAGAATTCAATACACGCATCGATGAGGTAGTGGTGTACGTATGGTGAGAGCGTAGGAGGGTGTGGGTGTGGGTGGGTGTATGCACAAGGAGCAAGGTGAGGGTAGAGTGGACAGGTATCGTCGGATGAGATTAGCTGAGAAGCGACAGCAATTATCTGACCACTGCATGATTACCAGTTACCGACAAATGAAAGTAGTTAAGGGACGAATGAGTGAAGTGGTTTAGGGCAGTCCGGGTAGAGGTCCCAGGCGTTTTTTGAGAGACGTGTCTGTGTGGTCAAGGACCCAGCACAGCCCAAATACGTTCTAGTAAACTGGTCTTGTTGACACTGAACGTTCCATTTGTCATAAATAAAGGCAAACCACCATAGGAGGGCTAGACAAGCATGAATAACTGTGGCATTTTAGTTTGCACGGCGAATGAACCAGCAGTAGTTTATCTGAAGTAGCGCTGTAGGTCTCCTGAACGGCCTATATTTCTCAAAAGGCCAGCTTCCATTCGACTTAGAAAAGCTTCAGATCTTTTTAGAAGACCCATTAATCCGAAACTTAGCTTTCCAGGAAAAAAAGGTACCTCGATTGGGATTGATTTCGTGGCGCATTCCCAAAAACTGATCAATATCGGGTCTTCCAACACTTGTTGGCTGTCTAAGGCTTGTCTCTTATTCCCATCATAAATCACCGTAATCTAGTTTTTAAAGCGCTTAGAGTGACCGTTGTTAGCGGGGAAAGACCTTGAAAGGATAAATTTCAAGCCCATTAAATGTTCATTAAATGTCAGATGGCTACACTACCTTCATTTGAAATAACAACCTGGCTCGGTACCTCTGAAGATGTTCCAGCTGGACACTACACAGAGTCAATCGGTGATTTGTTTCTCCAGTATTTTTCGTGAACCTCCCATTCCCCTTCAGTTTTAATTCTTTATTCTCATAAAGAACCTTATTCTAGCTCTCTGAAATCCTCAGTTCCTATAGAGGAGTCTGAATAGTTTATTTCTTTCTCCGTTAGCAAGGACCTGTTTAGCAACCGGTTCGATCTACCTCTGGCCTCAGCTGTTCCACTTATTCAGTTTCATTTGTGCAGATGTCAGTTAGCATCGTTCGCAGATACCAATCCCATAGGGCATTAATCTATCCCCCCGTTGTGCCC